GTCTTTCACCACAGGTTCACTCTTTAATGTGGAGAGACTGGTTTTTGAATGGTTGTTTCTCATCACAGCATAATACGTACTTTCAAAGTCTAATCAGAGAGATTTTGGGCTTTGCTAGGCGACATGTATCTCCCTCAGGACTTAGACAAGTTGAGACCTTACAGCAGATGAGAAGTGGTTCACATGCACAAGATTGGCATTTCTGTATTTCAGTTTTTTTTTTACTTATTGATAATAGGCACTCAGTGTCCAATGTGTTGCATCAGGCATTATGTCAGTGTGTTGCAGGCCTTGATGCCTCTTGTGAAATGGCATACGCAGAATTTCAGGCCGATGGTGGTGTGCGCCAGATTTTCTTTTTTTTTTTCTGTGGTGTCACTGACAATGAAATGCAGATGTATCTATTATAATACCTAATACAGTGTGACACAAGCAGCCAATCAGAACACATTCGATACCTAACATAACTACAGAAATAGAAACCACACATCTCAGTTTTTCTACTTCAAGATTTCACATTCAATTCAGTGTTACTCGCCATTTCTTTGTAATTGTTTGTGAAATTGATTAGCAGTTTCTGAGTGAAAATTATTTCTACATCAAATTAAGTATAGGTTAATGTTAATTTCTGCATATACATTAATACGTTAATTTATAAATAATTATTATGTATTGTGTAAAGTATTGTAAACTAACATAACAATAAACAATAGTATATAAATTCACATTTTATTATTTAATAAATTAATTTTAATATATTAAATATCAATACAGCAATTAATAGAAATCGATGTTAAAATAATGTTATGCATTAAACCTATATTAATACAGTAATATACTGTTGTTCATTGTTAATTCATGTTCATTCATTTGTTAAGGATTTCTAATGCATGTGCTAATGTTAACAAATTGAACTTGCAAAGTGTTGCCATTTATTACACCAATAATTAAATTGTCTCCTTAGTTTCAATGAAGTTAAAACTATTTTTGTTAGGCGCTTGAAATGTCACTAACTATTTATTTATTTATTTTATAAATGGTAACTTGACTAGTTTTAGTACTTTAAATCATCAGTTCATTGTAGCTTGGTATACTGCAGTTTAAAGTAGCTTTCCAAAACTTGGTTAGTATTCCCACCAATCCTTTGGAATTTGTTGTGCATACTCACTATGAGGAGGAGTCATTGTCCAGGGTCATATCATAACGCCCTCACAACATACAGGATAGAAGTTACTTGTGCTGTAGGTATCAGAGCACGTAGCGGTAGGTGGTTTTTATACATCTGCACCACAGGATGATTTATGACATCTGATTGCATGTTTTTCCATTGCTGTTTTCCTTATTCCATCACCTCTTCTCACAGTTAGACTGGGTTTGTAGCATTTTAATGGTGTTATTGCGTTACTGTCTTTTGAATGTGATTTGCATACAATTTACTCATCTATTTGTATTTGGTGACCTCACCCTTGAATTAATGCTGATATTTTTCTTATATTTGTGGTTAAAGTCCTGATTGTTAACTGAGATTTCTGAGTGATATTCGTGTGGTGTTCATGTTACGGCTGTGTTTGAATTGTAGGGTGTGTTTATGCCAGTGTAATGTGAGTGGGTTATGGGGGTCTGTGGGTAACATTGGCTTTATTTCAGAGGGCAGAATAAAAGATGTTGCTGTTTCCCAGGCAGTTTCTGTTACTGGCTTTCTCGATCCATTGCTTCTGGTCAGCTTCATTTAGGTTTTTCACTATATGGACAATACATAAAGTGCTTATGAGCAATGCGGTGCAAATACCAATCTAGTGATCACCAAACCAGTTTTCACATCACATCTTATGAAGGACTATCTCATCATTGTCTGATGAAACAATTTGAGAAATTATTTCAGATTGAAGCACCTAGTAGCTGTAACTTAACCATTTGAACCCAATAGGCATCTTACTCCATTGATGGCCAGAACAGGTTCAGTTTAAAGTTTCTGCACAAGGTACATTGTTATTGACATTTGAGGTGTGTGAATCTTTTCAGAGAGCCTAAAAACAACATACAACAGCAGAATAGTATGGTAAATGTAGCTCATAACTTGTTGATCGGCATGGGTTTTTCATAAACCAGAGGAGAAACCAGATCTAGCGGGCTCAGCCTAGAGCCTACATGGCGGGAAGGTTGTAGACTTGGGTGGCGTGCCATTTAGTAAATGGTTTGTTATGACCATGAAACCATCATTTGGAGTTTGGCATGGGCTTTTAGAGATCTGGCCCTGGAATTCAGAAGTACATACTTTACTGTTGAAAGAGTTCATATGAGACTGCTAGAACATGGTAGATGTATGTTGACTTTCAAAGGAGCATTACTTTCTATTTTCCATTTAACAGAAGTGCAGTTATTTAGTTCTTTTTCGTACAGTGAAAGTGGATGGGGACTGGGTTTGTCAAGCTCCAGAAATGGGTAAAAACACCATTAAAAGTGCTTTAAAGTAGTCCATATGATATATTTGGGGTTGATTAGGCTTTATTATAATTAGTGCTGTCAAACGATTAATCGCATCCAAAATAAAAGTTTTTGTTTACATAATATATGTGTGTGTGTATTGTGTATATTTATTATGTATATATAAATACACACACATACAGCATATATTTTGAAAATATTTACCTGTATTTACATGTATATATTTATATTCATATAATTGATATCATATATAAATATATTTATTATATAAACGTAACATATTTTTCTTAAATATATACATGCGTGTGTGTATTTATATGTACATAATAAATATACACAGTACACTCATATATTATGTAAACAAAAACTTTTATTTTGGATGCGATTAATCGCGGTTAATCGTTTGACAGCACTAATTATGATGTTTTTGAAGAAGTCTCTTATGTTCACCAAGACTGCATTTATTTGATCAGAAACACAATGAAAACAGTAATATTGCAAAATATTACTGCAATTTAACATAACTGTTTTCTTTTTTAAAATATTATAATATTCTTTATTCTTTACTGTCACTTCTGACAAATTTTTGAACAAAAAAAGCAAAAACAAAACCTTACAGACTCTACACTTTTGTTAAGGCTTTTCAAATCATCATAGGATAAGTTTCTGTACAACAGCAGACATTTATTAGGTTAAAATATTTCAGATTGTGCACATATTCAAACATGGTGCTTCTAGACACTTCCAACCTGGTTTCACATCAAACATCATTGGTTCTTGTGTGTTTTGAGTTTATTATTAATGCAAATATTAGTGCTGGGCGGTATGACCAAAAATGTATATCACGGTATTTTTCAAAATTGTACCAGTTTCACGGTACATGACGGTATTTTTTTTCATGCATGACCGGGTGTTAACCATTTTTCTACTGATTGAGAGAGGAAATACTGCAGTATATTGACTTAGAATGCCCTATTTTACTGTTATGATGAGTGAATATTGTCAAAAAATACCACACTAAATAGTGACTAAACACGACCCCTTTTAATACATGTTAACCAGGAGTCACTCTCATTTATAATCGCGGCATCGTCTGATAAAATCAACATGCATCTACACTAAAGAGCGGCTATGAGGTTGTTTTGGCTGTATTACTTTTTTGTCTCATGCAGCGTTGCCTGCGTCTGAGTAACAAACTAAAAAAAACAACAAACAAAAACCCAAAAAGTCGCTAGGTTTGTCAGTATGAATATTCTATGGAAAAAATTCGCTAAAAGGGTCTGAAAGTTGCTAAATCTAGTGCTAAAGTCGCGCTCGTGTGTGTGTGTGAGACGCGGGAGCTGATGGCAGGGGGCGGTGGATATTTGTGGATGAGTTCTTCTGTGTCATCACGTTCTATTAGTTCTACAGCTTCAGTTTCGGAACTTTCACGCTTAGTAACACATACAGCTGTGCCCTCACCACAGTGCAACAGTGAAAAGGGACCCCTTTCAAACAGTGTCGCGTTCCGAACTTTGTTTAAGTGACATACACCGGTATTGCGGTATTTAAAAAATTCATATCATAACAAAAATAAACACCGGTATTCGGTATGAACTTATATATCGCCCAGCACTAGCAAATAAACACAAAAGAGTAAGGTATTGAATTTTCTTTCTTTTTTTTTTGTGAACCGTTCCTAAGACAAAAAATAGAATTTAGGTCAGTGCTGGTTTTGCTATATTTGTGCAGATGTGAGGGTTTGTCAGACTTACTTGTCAGGTGTATGAGTATGAGCAGTTTGTTTCTGTATGAGAAAACAGCAGAGACGGCTGGGAATGTAATACAGACCTCACATTTTTATAGTTAATTTTTAGCAAGATCCCCCTCAAATAGAACCGCTGGCAGCAGCCAGGGGATTTTGGGTACTTGCTTGCTCAAATAGCAAATCCAGCCATCGGAAAAAAACAAATGAAACTAACTTTAAACCGCAGTCCTCAAACAAACCCCTTTAAAGCTCATGTCGCTGGAGCTCCGTCAGCTTAAAGCTTTGAACAGACCATTTAACTAAGAGTTTATGGAGCATTACGTGTTAGAAATGTTATGTTTGAGTGTTGAAACTTGTATGGCGTTACTATTTCAAGTCTACAGGATGTGCTTCAATGAATGCATTGTTTTATCTTGAAGTTAATTGCTAGATTTTATTTTGAAAGATGCTTTTCTAGCATGCAGTGCATTTAGGTCGAGCTAATATCTCAATGAGTGCACAGTCCTACAGCCAGATGGCCCGTGTCAGATGATGACCTCTGACCCGGGATATAGGATGAAGAATTTTGAGAGTGTTAATCATGGCTAGTTTGAACAAAAACGACTTCAGATCTGGTCTGAATTTATGAATGAGTTTATTTATATGAATGTCTTCACTGCTGGCTCCAGATTTATAGTCTTTCATGAATGAACGCCTGGTTTCTTCGTACAGCAGTTTCCACAGCGGAACTAGTAGAGCCTGTAAATGACATTTAGATCTTTCTCAGAGTGCTAATAAACGGTTTCCCTCTTTCTTTTGTGTTTTTTAGGGTGCTGGACAGGACAAACTTGGTATTTACATCAAGTCTGTTGTCAAAGGAGGTGCGGCAGACATAGTGAGTTTGGCTTGGTTTGTATTGTGATGTTCTTTATGGACAAATGCAGATGCTATTTCTTCAGAAATCACTAAGTGTGATTTCTCATACTTGTGTTATTGATAATACTCAGTACTATATTTGGAGTTGAAGCTGTAAAATCATAAATCATGCTTTTTTTTTCTTCATAAAAAGTAAAAATCTTGTTCAACCTTGCTTTTTTATGACTGTTTGAGTCTTGTTTTCTTTTTAGGATGGGCGTCTGGCTGCCGGAGACCAGTTGCTCAGCGTGGATGGAAGAAGTCTGGTTGGCCTCTCGCAGGAGAGGTAATTCTGTAGCATTTAGACCTTTAATAATGGGATTTAAAAAAAATTGAAATGGACTTACAGGTAAAGCATGCAATATCCGGCTATGTCAAAGAAGACAAAAGGATTGCATGCTAGAACCATTTCATTACACCACATAAGCAAGGAATGTGTCCTAATATACACAATTAAGTGGCGTAAGAACAAAATATGACTGACGTCTCAGTAGGGGTGTGCGATATATATCGTCTGCGATAATATCGTAATTGTTGTTTTAACGATGTGCGATTTGACATTATCGAGTATTTTGCAATTTAAACTTATTGGAAAAGATTAATTTCTATCACTGCTGTGAACTGATCACCACACAGAATATGAAGAATATCAACAACTTTAGGAGTCAGCTGTCCACGGTAGTCCTTAAGGTATCAGCACAATAACACACTCAGCAAAATATCGTCTAATTATCGTTATCGATAAAATCCCATAAAATATCGAGATATAATTTTTTGTCAATATCGCACACCCCTACATCTCAGTCTTTAGAACATCGTCAGGCAAAAATGACACTAAAATGTGACCCTGGACCACAAAACCAGTCATAAGGGTCAATATTCTGAATAAATCAGCTTTCCATTGATGTACGGTTTGTTAGGATAGGACAATATTTGGCCGAGATACAACTATTTGAAAATCTGGAATCTGAGGGTGCAAAAAAAATCATAATATTGAGAAAATCACCTTTAAAGTTGTCCAAATTAAGTTCTCAGCAATGCATATTACGTTGCAAATATATTAAGTTTTAATATATTTACAGTAGGAAAATTATAAAATATCTTCATGGAACATGATCTTTACTTAATATCCTAATGATTTTTGGCATAAAAGAAAAATCAATAATTTTGACCCATACGATGTATTTTTGGCTATTGCTACAAATATACCCCTGTGACTTAAGACTGGTTTTGTGGTCCAGGGTCACAAATGTAACATTCAAATAAGTTCTGAGTCTCATTTTTGGGATTATTTAATTATTTGGCATGATGAATAACATATACATTTTTTATATGCTTTTACAAAAAAAATGCACCCTTTAAAATAAGAAATTCTCCTGAAAAGTGATGAAAATTGCCCTTTCATTGAGAAGTTACATTTCTGACAGTGGTTTGTCTTGTAATTATCCTAGATTTGACTTGAAAGCGTCATTATTCCTAGTTCAACATTTTCAGGCATTAAGCTGTGCAGCACAAAGCACCTTTTGTTTGCAAAGTCAAAACGGCTTTAAACATTTTCTAATTTCTGTCAGAAAAATTGCATTAATGCCTGTAGTTTTGAGATGTGGTGGAATTGATGAAACTCTTAAATCTGTGGATTTGAGTTTAATGAAGCATATGGCTCAAAACACAACTGGATGCAAATGGACACAACTTGAGTTGCCTTTGGGATTCGTTCCAGCCTCTGTCTCTTGTTTACAGTTAGCCGACGGCAAATCCAAACAGACATACTATGAGATTAGTCTCTTTAAATAATCTCTTGTGGGATTGCACAAGTAATGCTTTGAACATGAAATTCATTCATCATAGTCTGCAGTTTTGTGTGTTTTACTCAAACATGTCTCTGTCTTATAGGGCAGCAGAATTGATGACACGAACCGGCTCTGTTGTAACGCTCGAGGTGGCCAAACAGGGAGCCATTTACCACGGCCTGGCCACGCTCCTCAACCAGCCGTCCCCCATGATGACCCGCGGTAAGCAACTGCGGCACAAATATTTATTTAAATCTCTTAACGGGCTTGCATGTTGGAGCTGCAGTATTCTGCTTAAAAAATATCAGTGGCTGCCGCACAGCGTGCTAGCGTGACTAATTCCTAAAAGAGGTGGAAATGTGGTGGATCTGGCACCCGCAGTGAGTTGCGTTAAGAGTTGCGTTAAATATAAATGCTTTCGACATATGTCTGGTAGTGATTCTGATTTGGTGCATTGTGGGTGATTTCCCCCATTTCAGAGAGATGGGCACTTTCCCAGTGCTGAATTTGGTTTAATTCAAGCCTCTTTTTCATCTCCGCAGCATCAGACCGTGGACGTGGAGACAAGGGAAAGATGAGACCAAAGAGCGAGGGCTTTGAGCTCTACAACAACTCTGTCCAGAACGGCTCGCCTGAGAGCCCCCAGGGCACGTGGGACACCTATCCTGAACCAAAGAAGGAGGACAGGTTGTTGAAGAACCGTGCAGACCACCGATCAAGCCCAAATGTGGCTAGTAAGTGTGCCACTTCAAACGCTTGGCATATTTGTGACCCTGGACCACAAAACCATTCATACGGGTCAGTCTTTTGAAATTGAGATTTATACAACATCTGAAAGCGAGAAAAATAAGCTTTCAATTGATGTATGGTTTGTTAGGATAGGACAATATTTGGCCAAGATGCAACTATTTGAAAATCTGGAATCTGAGGGTGCAAAAAAATCTAAATACTGAGAAAATCGCCTTTAAAGTTGTCCAAATGAAGTTCTTGGCAATGCATATTACTAATCAAAAAGTAAGTTTTAACATATTTACGGTAGGAAATTTACAAAATATCTTCATGGAACATGATCTTTACTTGTTTTTTTGGCTATTGCTAAAAATATACCCAAGTGACTTAAGACTGGTTTTGTGGTCCAGGGTCACATTTGTCAGTGTGGTTCATTTTAAAGTGGTGACATTATATTAACGTAGGGCTGGACGATATAGCTAAAAA